TTATTTTATTTCATTACTTATTACTTATTTCTTTTATTAAAGTCTAAGAACAATAAGGTTCTTTCTTCACGTTAAAATGCTACTGTTAAGAGGCTAAAGGACGAGTTTACCACAGGCTTACTTGATTATCAGCCAATCACAGACGCTTGTCTTCAAATCAGCCAATGAGAAAGAAACGCAGTCATTTGAAATCCATTTTTTAAATTATGCACACACATCCCTGAGCTGCTAGCACAGTTCCAGCCTGGACAGTGGCTTCTGTCCAGTTCCTCCAGTTCTGTGGTCGGTGTAGAGCATTACTGTGGAAAATTTGTTAAACAGTCTTTTTAAAGACCTTCACACATTTATCATCCATTTAATTTGCGTTCAGTAAACTGAATATTTTGTTTGTAGTTCTTTTTTTTAATTTGTAGTTGTTGTTTTTCTGTTTCTCCCCTTTTTTTTCTCTCACACTTTTCCTGCTTTTCCCTTCACATGTCCCTCCCTTCTCCCATTCTCCTTTTTTACTACTTTTTCAAATTTGAAATACACCAAAGGTGCACAACAGATTTTCAAATTTATTTTTGTTTTTTTGCAAAAGCAACACAGTTTTAACAATTAATATCATTAAGACTAGTGGAACAGTGGGAACAGCAGTCAGTGAAACATGAAATGGGGAGAATGACTTTAATGCAAAAGCAGATTTTAATGCAAGAAGCAGAGGCATCTCTGAATAATGCTGAGAAACACTAGTAATTTTTTCTACTCAGCCATCACTTCAGCCAAACGGTGGTGATGTAAACTTGTACAAAAGTTTGAAGTCAGACAGATCAAACATGGACTGTTGATTCGATCAAATGAGATGGAAGCAGAAAGGATCATATTATTGTAACATTAAAAAATATGTGGCGAAACTCTTAAAACATTATCTCAAAGGGGCTTCTAAGTGTGAAAGGGGGTCTTCAGCCTTCAGGCAGAGTGTTTACTGTAAATCAACTGAATGCCTGTGACCTTTGATCCTTCAGATGGTACTGGGACTTAAAAACCGGCATATTTTTGTTACTGCGTCCACAAATGCAAGTTAAGACTATACAATGCATAGTGGAAGTCATATATCAACATTGTCCAGAAACACAGCCGACTTCTCTGGGCTCAAGTTCATCTGAAATGGACTGATGCTCAGTGCTAACGTGTTCTGTGGTCTGATGAGTCAACCTTTCAGATTGTTTACGGACATAATGAACGTTGTGTTCTCTGGGCCAAAGAAGAAAAGGAGTAAATCAAAATAAAGAATCTGTAGCAAATTTCTTTTTGATTCATTATCTGGGAGACAAGACTGCTCATGTTCCACGTAGATATGAAAATGCCAAACTGACAGAATTTTTATTCCTTACAAAAAGTAGATTTTCTGACATAGTGCTCTGTATAGGCTTGCTGTTGCCTTTTAGCATTTATAAGTCAGGAACACAGGTCTGTTGACAGCTCATTCTGGTCAAATAGCTTTACCAGCAAAGGCCATGCTGGGCAACCAGCTTCACCAGCAAACACCATGCTGGCCAACAGCTAATCCAGTAAAGACCATGCTGGTTAACCAGCTTCACTACAGGGTTGTTCAGCTAAACCAGCACCCGGCCAGCACTGATGAAATCTGATTATAATAATATAAATACTAGCCCAGCAATACCACAGAACCCAAAAGGGGTGAGGTTTACCAAAAGACTGCCATATAATATTAATTTCATGGCTTCTCTCATATGATTTACCTGATGACAAATAGTTGGCTTGTATTTAAAGCGATAGTTTAGTGGTTTACCCAAGTGTTGTCAATCAGCCAAGACCATTTTCCATTTTGTCTGACTGACTTTTGTCCATTTTTGTAAGTGTGAAATTAAATTTTCCGCTTCCTTTTCTTTGCACACAACTCATCAAAGCAAGATTTCAAATCCACACTGATGTGGTACCAACTGGAGATGGATCAACATTCAAACCAGGCTTTATTGTGGTCTTCTAAGGCCATTTAACCCATGTCTGGTGGGACTGGTTGACAGTAGCTTGTGTCAGCCTTTCCTTAAAAAAACTGCAGCGTCAGGATAACAGTAGAGTGAGCTTCGTTTTGAACACACATTCTGAACGTCTGGTTAACCTTCAATCACTTTGGTAAATCTTTAACTTTACAAACTGAAAAATATTAAGAAAAAGGCTGGCTGCTGTTCACATTTTTATTCATATAATATATTAATTCTGTGTTTCAAACAAGAATGTAATCAAACTTTCAAAGCTAACAAAACAAAAAGAAAACATTAAAAGCATCCATATTTTCTCTCCTCTGTGGGTTTCTTTAGTTGAAAAACACTATTGCAGTATTCATGAAGAGAAGGCCATGATGGAGATTTTACAATCAGAGAGAGAGAGAGAGAGAGAGAGAGAGAGGTGGTACAGATGTGTAAATAACGTTCAGTAGAGGCCTTGAAAGAAGGAAAGAGGCAACACAAGACAAAACAGAAAAAAGAATGAACAAAGGAAAAGAAAGAAAGAGAAATAAAGCACATGAAGAAGAAGGAAGGAATGAAAAGATAAATAAAACTATGAAATAATAAGATGGTCGGTGCACTAGGAGAAAGGTCAGTCCAATAGCACTGTCTTCCCAGAGGACTCCTGGATAATCTGTCCCACTCTGCAGACAAATTTGCAGAACCTCTCCTGCACACAGAAACTCAAACTCACACCAAAAACAGACTCAGAATCCTGAACTGGGCTTTTCCATTTAAACTTCAGAGGACACAGTTGTTACAGGCTGTTGTAAAACGTTGCACTTTTATATGAATTATTTCTGTTCTCCGAACATCCTCCAGCTTTAATGAAGCTCCTCTGATGGTCAGTGATGGACAGTAACTAAGTAAATGTAGTTCGTTGCTGTACTTAAGTAGTTTTTTCGTGTATCTTTACTGAAGTTTTTCCATTTTGGTGACTTTTTACTTTCACTCCACTACATTTCAAAGTCAAATATCTTTCGTTTTACTCCACTACATTATGAGAAATCTGTCGTTCCTTTTGGTTTATCTGTGTATAAAAACGTAACATGTCAAAACAAAAGAAGCACAAAGCAAGAACACCAATCAGGGCACAGTGGTCACTTTGTTTAGAGCTTGTTTTGACCTGTTGGTCATACCGACCCAGTGCAGCACGCGGTTCAACATCAGCACAGCAGTGTAAACTTTTGGGAGAGTCTATTCAACATAAATGATGAACTAACCTAACTTTGTGTAAACAGACCACAATATAGAAATATGTACACATATGCAGTTGTGACTGACGTGTCTTTATTCTGAATTTATACAAACACATTTCATTTTATAGTAAATTAGTTTTGTCTAGTTTATGTTTATGAACAGAGACCTACAGATGCAGTTTAGTAAAGGAAACTCATTTGTGAACCTGAGTTTAAAGTTTTTATTAAACTTAAACTTGCAAATAAATCTTAAACTGAAACTTTGCTTGTTTGTAAAAAGTGATTTCAGAGCCACTCAGTTCTACCTGATGGAAACTGTTTGCCTTCAGAGTTTTGTGTTTATGATAATTTTAATAGACATCAGCGTCACTAATTAATGACCTTCTATTAAAAGACTGGTTTACCAAGAGTGACACTGGAGTATTTTCACCTAAAATGAGTTTGCGAATGCAGACCACACCTTGGTAAGTTAGATAATGATAGGAGGGGAACTCTGAGGAAAATTTGGGCTGGAGTTCAGTACAGCCTCTGTGGATCGCGAGAGGGCCGACCCCCCTACCAAGATTGAGTGCAGGCGTGGACAAGGTGGAGGAGAAGGGGAGGAGGAGGGGTGCGAAATTTCGTCACGAGTGGGAGGAGTGAAGGAGTGGTATTTATAGGAAGCTGAAATTGGGAAGGAGGAGTTTAGGCGTGGTCTTTCCTCAAACTTCAGTTGTGCCATAACTCCATTTTGCGAATGCAGACCACGCCTTGGTAAGTTAGATAATGATAGGAGGGGAACTCTGAGGAAAATTTGGGCTGGAGTTCAGTACGGCCTCTGTGGATCGCGAGAGGGCCGACCCCCAAAAATTCCGGATTAGATGGAGGCCAGCTGTTCGTGAGCTTGGCGGAGGTCCTGGATTTGCGTGCGTATGTAGCCATGGTAAGCTTGCGAGGACCATCGTCCGAGTAGTTGGACCATATGGTCGGGGAGCCCTTGGCGAGTAGCAGAAGAAGCTGCTCCGATTGAGCAGAAAATTGTTCCGGAGGGTAACCGGAGGGTAACCGGATAATGAAAGAACTAGGCGTAAGAGTTTGTGGAACCAGCGACGGGAGACCACGGAGCCGGTTTCTGTAATGAAAAGTGAGTCTGATAGTTGGGCGTTTTGAGAGAGCCTGAGTTGGAGTAGCTGTGCCAGAGGTTCATATGGGCTCAGATAAGAGTTGATTTTAAATAAGTACAAAGGAATGCTTTTACCAAACTGGTTTGTTTTGCTGTGTTTGATGTTGTAGATCATGGTATCTGAGTTTAACACGGTTAAGTCTGATAGGCAGGGATGTAGAGCAGGGTTGAAAGCTTCTGTTTGAGCTGTATATTCTGAGCATCTCAGGAATCCGAAAAAGGCGAGGAGAAACAGAGCTTCTAATGTAGTGGATAGCTCTTTGGGGAAGAGACCAGCACGGAGTGTCTGAATGCAGTGGTGGAGTATGTCAGAGGTTAAGGGCAGCTGGCGTGGTGGAAGGCGAGGTTCATTTCTTTGGATTCCTTTTAGTAAAAGTATAATCTGAGGGTGGTTAGCTGTTGTGTGTTGGGTTCCGTTGATAAGCTTTGTAAAGAAATTGATCCCGGCTAAATAGACTTTTAAGGTGGAAGAGCGAATGGCTAAATATGAACTGGCAAATGTGAGGTAAGCAGCTGTCGTTGACAGATTGTCTGAAGGGAACGGAATGCTGTGGAGTGCGTGGAAGCGCCGGAAAGATTTCCATCCGGACCAATAGGTTGACAGGGTACGAGTGGCAACTGCGCTTAAGATTATTTCTTGGGCTTGGAGGAGGAGCTGAAAGAACTGCTGGTCAGTTGGAGGATTGAGTCTGAAAATGGAGGAATTGGTGTCGGATGAGGCTCTGCTTGAGGTGCCAAGGCTTTGAATTTCTGAAATTGAAAACGAGAGAGAGAATCAGCAATAGCATTTGAATGGCCTGGGATGTGAATGGCTCGAAGAATAAATTGAGGTTTGATTGAGTGCCAAGTCAGGCGACGTAAGAATGGCATGAGTGTCAGGGATTTAGATCGTCCTTTGTTTATCATATGAACAACAGCAGAGTTGTCGGAGTGGATAAGGATCACTCGTCGTGTCCATTCGTGTCCCCAAAGGAGTGCGGCTATGACGACCAGGTAGAGTTCCCACAAGGCAGAGGAATCACCTGATTCAAATGAAAGCGAAGCAAACTCCGGAGGCCATTGAGAAGCGAACCAGCGGCCGCCAAAGAAGCCGCCGAAGCCTATCGAGGGAGCAGCATCAGTGAATAGTTGCAGATCTTCAGGGACTAGGATAGCGTCTTCGTAGAAGAAAGAGATGCCATTCCATTGCTGGAGGAGGAAGAGCCAGAAGCGGAGTTCCGAGATACATGCGTCGTCCAAGGAGAGGCGGTTTTGAAGTGAGGGAACCGAGGAGGCAATGCTGAGAAGGTGGGAGATAAAAGAGCGACCTTGAGGTATTATTCGAATTGCGTAATTGAGATGCCCAAGAAGAGAGAGGAGCTGGAGCTTCGAGCATCGAGGCTGCAGCACAAATTCTGACAGGGCAGTAGCAATGCGATCCAGCTTATCGGGTGGAAGGGAAGCCTGAAACAAGACGGAGTCCAGCTGAATGCCAAGGAACTCGAGAGAGGTAGATGGACCCAATGTCTTCTCCGGAGAGAGGGGGATACCGAGACGCTGAAATGCAGATGAGAGGGTGCGGAGGCCATACGCAGGCGGGGAGGAAGGGGGGACCGCCACGAGGAAGTCATCGAGGAGGTGAAGCACGTAGGGTAGTCTGCAAACATTCAGCAAGATCCAACACGAGGCTTCGGCCAGAGTGTCGAAAATCTTGGGGCTGCTTTTGCATCCGAAGGCGAGTCGAACTGCAAAGTAAAATCTGCCATCCCAGCAAACTCCGAACAGATGCCAAAAATCAGGGTGCAGAGGGAGGACCTTAAAAGCCGAGACAATGTAGGATTGACGCGATAGGTGGAGAAGGGAGCAGAAGCGAAAGGGCCGATCATGAAACCCTCCGAAACTTCCTTGGCTAAAAGGGAAGACACAACATCAGGCTTGGACAGAGCGGAGAGGAGGTTGCGACATGAAAGGGATGAGGCAGGAAGCACAGCAAGTCCAGGAGAAAAGCCAAAGATGAGGCCGTCCAGCAAATACGAGACGAAAGAATGATCAGGATGGAGGGAGAGGTCAGCAGCGAGAGCAGGGACATTGACGGGGGTAGAAAGATGCCGAAGTAGTCATTTGGGCCCAAATTTAGGAGGGTGAAGGGGACATCCCGATCTAGAATGAGCCTGGCCACAATGAGAGCAGATGTGGAGGAACTTGCACAAAGAGGAAAAACAACCAGCGGAGTTGAAATTATTACAAACCATCCGTCCTCCGAGGAAAAGCAAACGCCGCCCGCGGCTATCGCGGGAACTGGAAGTCGTAAAGATAGGGGCGGGGGCTGCCGTAGGAGCTGAGGGTACGGCAGTGCGGGGAGCGGGAGGGGGCGGAGCAACGAGATTGCAGGAGGAAGCGGGGTGAGATGGGCAACCGCAGAGCTCACAGGAGAGAGCAGTACGACCAGCAAAAACGCGACAGTTGAGCTCGAGGTCCAGGTAGCCCCAATATGTAGACATGTTCCACTGCTGAAGACGGGCAGACGCACGGGCCAAGAACAGACGATGGTAATCGTAGAAGCCCGACCCTCCAAATCGAACGGCGAGGTCCAAGATGATAGAAAGATAGTCATCCAGCTCCTGACGCCGCGATGGGAAGGCTGAGCAGAGTACATCACGGTAGATGGAAAAAGCGAGTGCGAACTCAGGAGCAGTGAGAGGTGCGAGGATCGGCACACTTGAGGGTGAGAGAAACATCGCCGGCGTCGATGGTACGGGGAGCACCGGAGGCACCGGAAGGGTGAAGTAATGAAGGGAAACTGACGTCCGCACCTTGGAGGATCCATGCACGCAGGGCAGAAGAGACGAGAGGTGGATTGAAGAGGCGGGCCTCGCTGGGTGGGACAGCAGGAGGAGCGGTGTAGAGGGAAAACGAGGAGTCGACGAGGAGGGGCCGAGGCTGGGCTGGCAGTGACTGCGACTGGAGACCTGGGATGGGATGAGAAAACGAGGCAGAAGGGCAAGCAGGGAACGTCATAAAAGAAGGAGGAAACAGGTACGAAGAAAGGAGGAGGGGCTGGGATGATGAAGGGAAGGGGAGGGATGATAAGGGGAGGGGATGGGATGATAAAGGGAGGGGTTGGGATGATAAGGGGAGGGGTTGGGATGATAAAGGAGGAAGCTGAGAAGAAGGAAGAGACATATCCAAGGGTGGGGCAGAAAAAGGCTGGGAAAATATAGGGGGAGAGAGCCGAGAAAAAACAGAAGCAAGGCATGCAATGGGGGCGACGACAGTGCTGGCAGGGCCAGCAACGGAGGCAGGCTGCCTGGTAGCGGGTCCGGGACATCCAGCGGAGGGCGGCACATCAGACGAGGGGGCGTCCGGGGAGTCGGTGACGTCATCACGCGCCGGGGCCGTGGGGAAGGTGACGCGATCAGGGTGCGCCTTAGCAGCGGAAGGCAGGCGCTGTTTACTCCCGAGAGACTGCACGTACAGGGAGAAAAGCTCTGCCTTAGGTGCCGTGCGGGCGAAATGAACGTGCTGGTCCCTAAGGACCTTCTGCAGTTTAGCAACGGTCCAATCGGAGATAGACGGAGGTCTACATTTAGAGCAGGAGGGGCGCGGGAGCGCCGGATCCGGGGGAGTCACGGGAATCCTCGGCTCTCGACGGCCGCGTCGCGTGCGCAGAGACTGCGCCGGAGCAGGCGGGGGATCCGGGGGCGAACGCCGGCTCTTTCAGGAGACGCTGCGCGCTGTACGAGAGCCGGCGTGGCGAGACGAGGAGCCGGAGGAAGCCGAGGCAGCAGGCGTGTTGGGAACCGCGACGACGGACCTGAGCCTGGGTGCAGGACGCGCGGATCCCTGGGAGGAAAGGTGCTGGCTTTCTCTAAAGAGGTCGTCATCGGAAGCGACAATGTCGAGGTCCATGAGGACGAGATGATAGCAGGTAAGCAGCACGAAGCCGGGTCGGTGCGAAATTTCGTCACGAGTGGGAGGAGTGAAGGAGTGGTATTTATAGAAAGCTGAGATTGGGAAGGAGGAGTTTAGGCGTGGTCTTTCCTCAAACTTCAGTTATGCCATAACTCCATGTTGTAAAATTCACTTTAATTTGTATTTCCTTACCTACAGATTTGTAGCTATCATCAAACCTAAGGCGTTTCCCATGTGAAATTGACCCGTTATTTGTGCTCAAACATATCCTTGGACGTTTTCCGCGGGAAGCAGACGTATCGTCAGCACTTTGACTCCTTCCACTCTGTGGCCGGCCCCCAGGACTGCTTGTTAAACAGGGCTTAAACGTCGACAAAGCACGGGGTTCACAAGCCGTGGAGGTACTGGGTACTGCATCGAATCCTGGCGGAGTTAAGAGACCCTTTGTTTCAACCAAACGGGTAAGAGCTACCACAGAAAAAATGAGTTAGTATTACACACCAACAACTAACACAGAAAAGATATATACTATAAACCGTCAACTCACCCAATGGATTCTCATAATCCGCTGTATTCGCAGATTCTGTAACAGCAGAAATGTAAATTATTTTGACAAACATCAACTACAAATAAATCAAATAATAATAATAATAAAAAGCTGTGACATACCTTCACAAAGTTGAGACAATCCTTCAATACTTCTAATAGCAAGGATTGTTTCAAGCTCAGATGCACCCAGACCAAAAAAAACACCTGTTAAACAAAGAAAATTGTGACGCTGTTTGAATTGGTTACAATAGAAAATTAAGTAAAAGTCTGCAGCATGCTGCATGCTCACCGAGAATCTTGGCGTCCATGGCTTCAGTTTTCTCAACAGCAAATGTTGCCCCAACCCCTCCCACACACACAGGCATGCTCGAATTTAACATCTGTTTCTAAAGCTAATTTCCGAAAAGGGGATTTCTTTTTTTAATTTCTTCTAAACCCCTGAACAGATCATCAGTCTTATGGAAGAACCTTGTAGCATCATCCACTGACAAAACCCAAAATAAAATCCAGAATCTCTCCAGTTGATTCTGTGCGTGGTTTGTTGTGTTTGCGTGCGAAAGTAACTGAAAACCTTATTGTAGCCTTTATTGTAGCCTTTAAAAGTACAATTACACTTTTATTCTATACATACAAGAGTGACTCTCCCATCTTTACCCAGTGTGGACGTTGTCGTGTGACCAAAAGTCACTCGTTCGTGTTTCCAGCCAATTTCATCAGGTGTGAGAATGAATAGTGTAACAGTCTCGTTTTCATAGTAAAACCGACAACACGATCTTTGGACAAATACCAACCTGGTCACACTCTGGAATCTTATTTCTAGGAATTATTGTACACAAAGCCAAAGCAATCATTAACAAAAAGAAAAAATAAGAAAACTTTCTCTGGAGCAAATACGACTAAATCAATGTTTCAAAAATGAGTTGTGTTTTTAAGGTCTAGACTTTCTGGCACTTTTAACACACTGGAGACATACACAACCCACATCTCTAAGAATCCACAATCAAACACAACAGTGAAAACCCCCCAATGTTTTACCCACATGAAAGGGCTCAACATTCACACCTCACACTGAGGGGGGTGTTGTAAAACACCCACCCCAGGCAGACCTGTCCCTCAAACTGGTCTGTCACAGAGAGGGGGTCATAAATCGACCTGTCACAGAAAGGTCATAACATGACCTGGCAATCATAACTGACATGCCTGTTACACAGGGGTCATAAATCAGGGTCATAAATCATACGTTTGAAAGACAATGTAGGATACATACTACTCACACTATTTCTACCATTATTCTATTACCACTTATGGGTGTTACGTTGTTCTTTACTTTATGATCTAGCTGGGGCGCTGGTGTCCCCGATAAGTCCCACAGGGCCTTTTAATGTGGCTTAATTTGGTTGCAGTGAACCCACTTAAACCAGTTCTCCCCGACGATTGCTGATCTTGATTTGGTACACAACGGGAGAGTTTGTCTGTGATCACATGGGGGCCTGACCAGCGAGGCAGGAACTTGTGAGCCAGTTTGCCAGTCTTGTTCCTGGGTCCTCCAGCAGGTTGGGCAAATGCATTGTCCCACACCTTTTCTCCCACTCATCATAAGAAGCTTTCTGGTCATAATAGGCCTTGCGTCCTTCTGCACTTTTCTCCAGCTTCTGCTGGGCGAAGGTGAACATGGCTTGGAGATGTTTCTGTAAGTCGTCCATATATTGAGGAGTCGTGTGTGGCACTGCTATGCTAGCCTCCCCTTGTTGATTGAGAAGGTGCAGAGGAAGCGTCATCTGTCTGCCTGTCATCAACTCGAATAGGAAGACCCCCGTGGCCTCATGCAGAGTGGCCAACTTAACGTCCCAATTGCGGTGGTTCGTCGCGACATACTTTTTCAGTATGCTGAAAAAGTTTGATTAGCTCACTACACCTGGCCAGAAGCCTGTGAGTGATGGCTAATGTGAATTTACCTTCACACCCAGCAGTTGCCAGATCCGTTGCATGACCTCAGCAGTGAAATGCGTCCCTTAGTCAGAGTTGACACAGCTGGCAGACCATGATTCATCAACAAGTAGGCAGTGGTCATGGCTGTGTGCACCGGCAGGCCTTCCACCCATTTGGTGAATGCATTAAGTGACTGTGAGGACGTTTTTGTTGCCTCTGACTGTTCTGGTGAGCGGTCCAACCTAGTCAAGTTGGAGGTCTGACCAAGGGAATGCTAACCCTCCTTTCTGCAGTAAAGCGCAATGGAGTGGGTTTGATGGTTGAAATTGGCAGCACACCAGGCAGCCTTTGATGTAGTCTGCAACATCCTTCTCATATGAGGCCAGTATGCCACTTGCTAGACTGTATACTATGTTGCCTTGATCCCTTTGTGTCCTGCGCATGGGAAATCATGAGCATGCATTAACATCACCCCCCTGTGGCACTGAGGGGCCACAAACGCAGGTGAAATGAGTGAGTCAGAGACATGAACAAGCAGGCCTTTGATTATGCTCAGACATCCCTGGGCATTGAATAAGTGTTTAAGAGATCATCGGGTCCAACGGCGGCACCCAAAGGACCAGACAGGAACAGGATCATCTTCTGGATGGCTGGGTTGCACGCTTGAAGGGACACCAAGTCGGCATCTGAAAAAGTGGGAGAAGTAATAGAGGTCAGACCACAGTCAGGGGTGGGTTGGGCGGAATCCGCTTGAGCGCACAGACTGTGGGTGTGGGTAAAGAGAGAAATTGAGTGGGGTCAAATACCCACACATGGGTAGCAGACTTTCCAGAGGTGGCGTTGTGCTAGCCGGGGAGTCATCAGTGCATTGCCAGCAGGACGCTAGTCCTGTGCCTAGCAGAGTTTTTGGTTTTGTCCGTATCGCACTTCCACATCAAACCTTCGCAGGGCCATCAGCCAGGAGGCCACGTGAGCATTGGTGATGACCCCATCATGGATTTGTTGGCTGTTAAGGAAAGTGACTGGTTGGTGATGGGTTTCCACAACCACCTTTTGGCCACCTAGGTAGTTAGAGATGTGGCCAACAGTGCCTTTTCGCAGTCATTGCATTTGCATTCAGGAGGTGAGATGTTTTTGCTGGCATAGGCCTATTTCAGATTTAGTCAGAAAAAATCTGCTCTGGGTCTATTCTCTAAACACCGTGGCACTTTAGTGCGGTGTCTGTGACTCTGCACGTGCAGCCTGTTGGAAAGTCCTGACCACTTTTTTACACAGGCGCGGAAATGAAAAACAAGACTTGCCACATCGCTCACACCACACAGACGCATGTGTGAATCAGGCCCATGAGAATGTTTTGTTCACGTGATCAGTTGCTTGAGAATGACTTTCATTTTATCTGTTTTACTGTTATATCGTTTACATATGTGATTTAGTGATCATTCTACCTTGTTTAGGTTGTTCATTAATTTGTTGGATATCTCTTCATGCGTGCTTACGCCTGCTCCCGCCTGAAGGGGTCTGATTTCCCGCCCGCTCCCGCAGCAACAATGAAAATGAGACCACACCGCAAGACATTGTACCAGGTCTCATGGGAACCTGTGTCAGTGCAGACCTCTAGTTCTGGGTAACAGTAGAGTTGATATCAGTTTGACTTAACAGCAGATTTGAATCAGTATTTTTAAAAATGTGATGAGCTGCGGCAAAATATGTGTTAGAAACCCTACAGAGTTCTTTCTGATCAGATATTAGTTGATCATCTACTATAACACTGGTTGGAAGGGTAGAGTAAGTAAGTAAAGTTTATTTATATAGCGCTAACAGGTGTTGTCACAAAGCAGCTTTACAAAGAAATCAGCATTACAGAAAGAAATCCGGGTCCAAGCCCCCATGAGTGTCGCCAGTGGCAAGGAAAAACACCCTAGGAACAGGAAGAAACCTTGAGAGGAACCAAGACTCAGAAGGGGAACCCATCCTCCTCTGGTCGACACCGGAT